ATTAAGCCCCATTGAAAGTTCGCCCCTTTCTAGTTCTCCTCCACTTAGTGGCGATGACGGGGGCGATCTTGTCATCGTGGGGGGCCAACGAGTTGGGGGCGAACTTGTAGACAGAGAGGCAAAAGTTAGGTGTCTTTTAACCCGTTCCAGGTTCCACCTATTACCGGCTCTATCTCGGGCGTTGTGGTGCTGTAAGAATAGGGGCCCTGGGAATGCGGTTGAGTGATTTCTTCTTCATGATAGCACACAATATAACCCTACCCAGTCGAATCCAGATATTCTGGTCTGAAGGCCACTGCAAAGTTACATTGAAAGTATGTTGACAAAAAGAAGAGCAATGAGATATCAAATATATAATTTAATCCCTTTTATTTACTCAAGACCTTTAGCCAGTTAATATTTTTTCCCTAAGAGACATTTGGCCACTTTTAAAGTGAAAGTCATTCCTCCTCCTCACTCCCGGATATAGATGTTCCCATGTGGATTAGCGACATTGGTGAGCTGATTCAGGTTGTTGGTTCCGCATGGATCATGAGTAGGCCAATTAGTGCCAGTGTTTCCATCGAAATAGTAATATTCTTTAAGATTAGTATTACTTGAGGAACGAATGAGATCAGGGCCCACAGTCTTGCCGTTAGGATTTCCAGCAGTAAACTCGATGAGACGGTCGGGAACCAGGCCTTCACACCTTGATGCGACGTTCTTAATATTGCGACACTGTAGATATCCTTCTCGCATATCCACCAGACTTCCGCTACTTTCTGTACATGTACAAACGATCCAGTCATTGATGTTAGACTTTATCATGAACTCACGGCCAAGAGTCTTCCACAGGCTGAACTCCATGGCGTTGTAGTCTGTTTCACTGACGGGGGCGGCGGTGGACACGGGCACGTTAGCACCTGGAGCGTACCAGTTAGGACGTGGCGTAACGGCGTTAGATGCTGCCCTAAAGTTCCTGCAAAATGAAATGAGAAGTGTTTAAGAGTTAAATTTCCGTGCCAATAAGATAATTGCTTGTCACCTCAATCGTCAGATCTCCGAGGAAGAGAGTGTTCCTAAGCTCGTTCTGTAGCCGTGGCACCTTGTTGATTTGTAGTTATTCCGTACATTATCTAAAATGCTACGGTCCCGAAATGCCTCCTCCCAGATGAAAAACAAACAAACAAACAAACAAAAACAAACAAGGGGCGTGGAGGGCTGGTATAAATTCACGTTTCCATTTTTTTTTTATAAATATGTTTCGCCGAAAATAGGGCTACAATGATCAAACAGAGATGTTAAGTCGATTGAAAAAAGTTCTAAACGTAAATGTCATTCGGTAAAAAGTCCCCAATAAGTGATGACTAGAGTGGCTCTGTGGTGAGCTCCGCTTATCAACAAAGATCTTCAGTTCTTATTTCACTTCCAACATGCTTGGTTAAGATGCCAGTGCAATGATGAGGGGTGGATCTCAACCCTTGATGCACAAGTTACCTATTATCTATGCTTATACATTTTCCTACGGTTCTCTCGCCCCTGAGCGTCCAGTCAGGACCTAATTTGCTAAGTAAATTGAAGTTTAGGCGAATTCGTATTTGGACAAACTCCATGTCTCAGTTACCTATAGTTCGTAAATGTATAGCTGTATACTAGTGTCCAGCCTCCACCGTCTGTTTCCTGATCGCAGTAGGCCTGGAAAGCATTTGCACCATCAGGTTTAATCCAATATATTCCAGATTCTGTGTTCTTCTGTTTCTTTTTAAGATCTTGACAGGACTTAGCAGCGTTTTTCTTGTTCAGGCCTGTGGTGAAAACGTGTCAATTATTATGATCTGAATATATTATGTTTCTTTAAAGCGAGTTCACTGAAAAGGAGCTCCTGGAGCTCAGAATCTGAGTGGAAAGCATTGGATCATTATCCAAAACGTAGGAATTTTCATCAAGGGATTTGCTGTCTTTACATCCCACTTTTGATTAAAAAAGAGATATTCTCTCCGTATAATGAGTTACAGTTATCCCTTGGCTTCTCGCCCCTAATTCAACTCGCAAATTATCCACGCGTATTGCAATTATGTTAAACCATCGAGTAAGGTGTAGTGTATGTATATTGTGAATATAGAGGTGTAGGCAAATATTTCAGGCACACTTACCATATAATAACTTTTTTTCGTCGCATGGTTTCTCAGTAGGCTTCAGAACTATTATTTTTATGAATAAAAAAAGTTGTAAGTGAAATGGGATAATTTCGCCAACTGTCTTAATACCTGGCTAGTGAAAATATAATGACTTTAAATTAAAAACAACAAGATCTTCTAAACTCACCAACTCACCAACTCACCAAAAATTTAATAACTAAAACGGTACTGATGCTTCGCCTGGCTAATATCAAGTACACTTTTTGTTTTATCATTTCTCTTAATTTGTGTATGTACAGACCGACCTGTATTAGTATTAATCATAACCATAACAATTTCCTCAAATGTGATTGGTGCATTAGCTGCTTTATTTTTCATTAATCATTCGGTATAGTTGTAATCGGACAGTTGGCTGTAATCTGACACATGTAATCTCACAATTGGCTGTAATCGGACACATATAATCGGGCAGTTGAAGCAGCCAATCATACTGAGTCCGTTCAGCTAAATCCACCAGTCACAGTATTGATCACAATAACCATAGCAACAATCACCTACCCTGTAAAAAAACTGGGGAATTCCCAAAATGGAGAAATTTTTCACTTTAAAGATTGTCTCTACCGCAGATGTTTGTCATAAGTGTATTTGTTTTTTTCGTAAATAGTAACGGTTATGGTTAATGGTAACAAGACTTTGTGTCGTCCAACTCATGATAAACAAATCGGACTTCCGCCTCGCGCTCATCCTATTTTGTAAACTCGTATGGTTACAGGCCAAATTGGACTCCACTCGGTCCTATTACCATTATGAATCAAAACTATAATAAGATTTTCGAACGTGATCAGTTATTACCGCCCCGATTTGAGCACTAATAGGACAGTGTAGGCGTCAAGCTTGTAACTGGACAGTGTAATGGGACAGTTGGCATGTCAGGCCTAATACGTGGACAGTACGTGTCATGAGCACGCGCTGTTGTCGCACATTTCGCCGAGTTGTTGTTGTTGTTGTTTTTTTTATTTTAAGACGTATGACCAATAACTGATTTCTTTCTCGGATTTTGTCATACTTTTGATTAAAAGAATATCAACAGTTGATATTCTTCTGTTTGGATTAATTGGTAATCAGAATCCGAGTGGAGTCCAATTCTCGTGATCAACAAATCAGATTCCCGCTTTGCGGTCGTCCGATTTTGTTAGTCACTAATATGATTGCAGACCGAATCCGGGTCCCTTCAGTCCTATTATCATTATCAATACTGTTTGCTGTCGCCTTGAATTTCTTGGACTAAAATGCAAAATAAAGACTTCTGTGATCATCTGTTGTTGTTGTTGTTGTTGTTGTCTTAAAACTTCATTTCGAACAATAAAATAAAGTATGTAGCCCGTATACTGAGAAGTTCAATAAGCAACAACAAGAACAACTTAGCTAAACGCAAGAGTTTTCACCTTTTGATTTAAAAATCTCCCAAGGAAAATTCATCGCTAGCTATACCTTTATTGCCACAATATCTTGCTCTTTTGATGCCTGGTCGAGGCAACTCATATATCCAAAATCCTTGACATTTCATAATCTTGATCGTTTGCATCTTATAACAGCCGCCATTTTGTGCAAAGCATACTGTTCCTTTAACAAATTCTCCTGAGCTCAGACCGTCAGGATGGGACGTGCGCAGGAAGCCTGGGTATGATGCACCGCACGATGGCGGCTCCAAAAATTTTCCTGTGGTCTTTCTGTAAAAGAAAAGCAATCAAAATATTTAAATTAACAAAAAAATCACAACCTTTTCAGTTCTAGCAAAGTTGTGTGGTTTTTGCATGCCGCATTAGTAATTACCTTCCACAGAACCAAACGTCGATTTCAATTTAAATCATTTTTGGACTCATCTTGGACAAGATGTCTGGAAGTCATCGTTTTAATTAAAAACATTCATTCTTACTTACTGTAATCTTTTGAGGACAGAAACCAAATTTACAAGTGATTACATTAACGGATCATATACTTACATGTCGGCCATTTTTTCTCCTGCGTCACCCGTAAATCGATACCATTCCTTTTTCCAGTCATTGTTCCTGTCTGACATCCCCGTGTCAATGCCGTAACCTGCAGCTCGATTTGCTTCACCCAGCTTCTTATAATTATCACATGGACCGTAAGCACTGTCTGAAAAAAAGTTAACCGTTACGGTTATTCCACACACTTGCCTAATTCAGAAAGGGTTGCGCATTGGCGTAACAGAAAGAGAAAATGCAAAGATTTCTTATATTCGAATAAAGTGTACAACTACATGACGGCTTGACTTGGATAAAAATGAATTAAAAAATTAATGTATCCCGCGCAAAACGAAAAATAGAGGGAATAAGAACTTCGATAGGGTGAACAAGAAAACAAACGATCGATTGCCGAACGAGTAATTCCGATAATTCTTTCAATTGCTATCTACCATACCCAAAAGTACAAGAGGTATTACTTACTTGGCTCTGGAATGTAACATAGTAAAAACAGCAAATTAAGAGCAATTACTGTAGGCATCATGGATCCCTGAAATGTTAAAGTATGTAAGAAAGTGCCTTAGCTGGAATGTTTATC